GGGGGGGGGGGAGAGGGAGAGAGAGAGAGAGAGGGAGAGAGAGAGAGAGAGAGAGAGAGAGAGAGAGTCTCTCTGTCGCACAGTGGTTCTGTAAAGTGGGTCACTGTCAGCGGTGGGAAATTAAATGCACAGTATCTGTCTGTCTGCCTGCAGGCAGCATGATCCACAATCTAGCCAATAGATGTTCCAGTGCATTTATCTTAAAATATTTTGGCATAAAGTCTTCCAGCTTACATTCATCTATGCACATCTGGTGCACGTGGATCAGTCAAAGTGCACATCTGGCTGTGGATAAAGTGGCTTTAAAAGCATGTTAACAGATCGAGTGTCAGCCTGTTATAAGTGGGTCTAGCCCACTAATAATAAGGGCGACACATAACACAGGAAAATCAATGCTTGGATGTATTGACATTTTTATACTCTACCATTGTCTGACTGGGTGTCAAAAAGTTTAGACAGACAGACAGACACACACATACGCATGCACGTACGCACGCACACACATATATACATACATACTGTATATGTTACAGTTCTTTGCTTAATTCCAAGCAGTCAGCAACATGTGTGGGAAGCAACACGTGTAGCAAGTATATCTTATAGTTATGGAAGGCCTGCTGATGAACTTATTTATAATCACTTAAATGTTGTTTAAAATATAGCTTTTATGATACCCTGTGTTACCCCTGTATCACCCCCAGTGATAACAGTCAACATATGTCCTTGGCAGGGGGTTTCTCAGCTCCCTTTGTGTCTTTGTGTAAGACACCAGAGACCCTAGACAGGGCGAGGCATCTAAGCACCATCTGCTCTCCCTTCCCTTGGGCAGCTTACAAAATGTCTCCCCCCTCAAACAGGATGAATGAGATCCTGGGTGGGGCAGGAGGAGACTGGCAGAGGATGATACAGGCACTTTTGGACAGAGATGAGGCCTACAAGGAAAATATTAGAGAGATATTTAACAGAGGAGCAAAAAATATCAAATAATCTCATGTAATGCAATGCATGCCAGTATGTGTTATGTTTTCCACATTTGAAAGTCACTTTGGATAAGAGCATCTGCTAAATTAATGAATGCATTAAAATAGTCAAAACAACTGACTCCCACATTTGCTTTTCTCAAACAGAGACCAAGACCATTCAGTGGCACGGAAACAAACACCAGCAGTAAAAACCAGTCAACTTGAAACGCAGTGCTGAGACTATCAGCTCTGCCATTTAGCTAAAGTTCATGCACTGATAGGATTCATTGAGGCATTGGAAGAACAGAAGCAAAACAATCACTAATGCCAAGTGAACTGTTAATTGCCATATTGCTTTGCTCCAAAAACTGTTTCTAAAGCAGGTCACAGACTTGTCACTGCTTTGTTCTACAAATGTATTGGGCTGTAGTCTACTAGTTGTGAGATGACTAACAATAGGGGTGAGGTCAGGACTCGCTTGTTCCATTATAGCCTCATCTTAAAGAAAAATGTATTTTCTAGTCACAAGCTGTCAAATTTTACTACTCTAAATTAAGTTTCATTGTATTCTAAACTAGTATACTAGCATACCAGTATACTCACTGTACACTACTGTATATCTGGTCAGTTTTATGTATCTTTTGCTATGATATCCCACAATTCTGTATGCGTGGTTCAGTGGCTAGTGGGAATAATAAAAATGGTTATGTTCAATAAAAAAAAAAAATACAAATTGTGTCTGAAATAATAGTTAAAATAAATTAATTGATTAATAACAGCCCATTTATAATTTATGACTGTGTACAATGAGAAACAAGCATTGTACACTCGTAATGTGAATGCATTCATATATATTACGCAGATAATTTAAAAGTAAATCAGATATTTCCCATCGCGTACTACATATCCCAGAATTCTCTACTCGACGATCATTGGTCACATCCAAATATGACGTAACACAATTTGGTCCTCTTTTGCGCGAACGGTTGACGCTGAGGCAGAGAGGAATCTTCGCGCGGTCAACTCCAGCACTGATTTCCACTACAACTAAAGGTGGGTGTTTTTTTGTTGTCAAAAATTAATATTTTTGCAATACATCTCAACCGTGTCTGACGTGACAGGAAGAGAAGGCATCTAAAGTATAAAAAATTCAAATGATTGCGATTTTAATTTCAGTCACACCCTTATTTACCTCCCTTTTTGGGGAGGGGGTGTAGATAATAGACAAGGGCATCGGGAATATTCTGTATGGTTAGAGAATTACCATAGCTAAATAAGTAAGTAATTTAAAAGTTGCAGCACGCACATCTAACGTTATCTAAAACTGCTCGTCGTGGCGCGACCATTAAGGTTTTGTGTTTATCGTCGTTTAATCGGGAGGGAATTGTGCAAACGGTCGAGCTCAACATTAGCCAACAGGCTCTCGTTTAGTTGAGCTTTGCTTGTTGATTTTGCCGTTTTGCTAGTGCAAAATCAATTCTATTGTTAGCCACAGACTTGAACCGTTTTCTGTTTTACCTAAAATCTTAACAACAATCCCATAATATATCCCACAGTACAGTGACAGGTGATCTCATGGGTCTCGACGCCTTTTGTCTTCATTGTGTGTGCATTCACCAACTGTGCTGTCAAATAATATTATTTACCTTCGAATCTATCAATTACATCGATTAGGAGACATATAGAACTGTGCATTTTGCATGTCAACACTGAGATTATTCTGTACAATGGGCAGTGCAGTTGTGTCTGTTGTGAAATGAGAGCGATAGGGTGTGATCTGGTTTGTTGGAAACGCGTGATACATCAATACCACTATTTGTAAGCGCTGCATTCCATATTTGCATGTTTCTTGAACATTATTAGGGTCTTATTGATACGCAATATAGTATAGTTTGTGGTATTATGGATTTTTGAGGGCTGTTATAATGGGGGTTCAGGGTGTATCTCGGCCATCTATTGTCTCCAGATGAGATCCTGCATCCCATCGGATAGACACATTTATTTTCAACCATCGGGTGATGACTTGTTGTCAGGTCATATTTAAGATGACAAGTTTGTCTTATACTTAATATTTGATGAATCACTTCAACGGATTAGCCTACGTTTGTTTGTTTCTTGCACAATATCCCCTTTGTTTTAATCTCTCAGTGCCCAGTTGGATCTCATTACATTACAAAAAGAGATGCTGATTTGTTTTCTCTACATTTCACCCGAGTGTACACCCCGTTGTATATATTTTAATTGAACTATTATCGTTTAATTAGATGATGATGACAGCACGTCTGAATAGATGGATCCGATGGTTGTTGTGCTGGCAGCGACTCGTCCTTTTCTTGGCTTTCAGCATAAAGAAGGATTTTTTTTTGCATTTTTAACAGCTTGTTTCCTTCCCAAAATAACATTCAGTTAGTAAATTATGCATGACTATTGTGGCGACGCCACTCCCTTTAGTAGTGTATTTTAGTTATTATTTATAAAGTTATTGTATATATATTTTTCTTGTATATACCACAGTAGGGACAGACTCCACTTATGGATTGTTCATGAATAGCTAATGCTACCTTCTTTTTTTCCATTGATAGAAAAGCTGTTGTATAGCGGAGACTTGTTTTTAATATGTGGGGAGGGGCAGATGCTTAAAAGAAAAGATTGTGTAAGCATGACTTGCATCAACGTTAGTAGCAAAACGATTGCATTTTTTCTGATATTATTATATGCATTCATTTGGCAGGTGTGTAAAACCGTCGAGGTTGGAAGTGCAATGGCGTCCTCTGGAGGTAAGATGCGAAAATAAGCTCAGCTAAGCTCCAATCTCGGAAATCAGTATGCTTCACTATTGTTTGTAATTTAAATGAAATCATTCTGCAAAGGAAATCAAGCACAGAGTATTAAATGCAATGACTTATCCTTCACAGATATTCAGGTTAAGGAACTGGACAAGCGTGCCTCAGGACAGGCTTTTGAAGTCATCCTGAGTCCTTCGGCTCCAGATGCCAAGGGAGAATTCCCACTTTCCACCCCCAAGAAGAAGGAGGTATCTCTGGACGAGATCCAGAAAAAACTGGAAGCGGCAGAGGAGAGACGCAAGGTAAGTGGTCGTTTAGGAATCAATTACATAGTGATTGTCCATTCTGTTCCTCATTTGTTTACCATCTCATATTAGAACCATGAGGCAGAGGTCCTGAAGCACTTAGCTGAGAAACGAGAGCATGAGAAGGAGGTCCTTCAGAAAGCAATGGAGGAGAACAACAACTTCAGCAAGATGGCAGAGGAGAAACTTAACCAGAAAATGGAAGCCAACAAAGAAAACCGCACAGCACGCATGGCAGCTATGAATGAGAAATTCAAAGAGAAGGTTTGTGTGTAGATGAATGCATATGCATTATAAGTTACTTTGTAAAGTTTCAGTTCTATTGAATTTACATTGTTGATGGATGTGTTTGTCTTTATTTTAGGACAAGAAGCTCGAAGAGGTACGAAAGAACAAAGAAACAAAAGAGGGGGCAGAGGGTGAAAACTAAGTTTCCGCTCTAATTTTCCTTTTCATTTAGGGTATAGTATTGGGTTTTTTAATGTATCCAAAGATTTATTTTTTGTTCCATTAAATGGCCAGTTTTCCATGTTTGGATCCATGTACTTGCCACGTTTTTATTAAGGGGTTTTGGGGGAAAGCCGGTGCACAACATTTCATCAGTTTATGTGTATTCAGTTCTGTCTTTCACCATCCCATCTAACCTGTAGATTTGTCCAGTTGCAGCTCTATAGTGTTTAAAATGAGCAGTGTTTTACTGATAGGGAAGCATGCCTGTGTTATGCATAGGTCTAATATATACTTGGTATACTGCATTGTGCAAGTCCACCTGTTCCCTTGTATATCAGTACTGCCATCCTATGAGCTTAATAAAGTTGCACAGTTGTTTGTTATTGTACCAGTTTTGCCACTGCCTCTTTGTTGATCTGTCAGTCAGCCAGAGTGTAATGTGGAGTAAAACACCTTAAAATTTGTACATTATGGAGATAAATGGCAGTTTCTGTAATTCTATATGGAAAATATGTTTTGCCAGAATAATAATTAGATCTTTTTGGACACTTTTTGATGTACTCTTTATAATCTGCATGTACATTCCTAGTGTGAAAACTAAACAATTCATTATCCACACACATTTTCTTTACTAGATCATACTTTTATAGTAATTTATACTCAGTATGCACTATTAATAAAAAAAAAAATCAATGCATTCCAGTAAGTACTTGCAAAGGTTTGAGTATATATATATAAAAAAAAATCTGTTGCTTGAGACTGTGTTTGAACTATACTGGCATCTAGTGGTTTTGAGTTTGTCTAACAGGTATTAGAAAAGGCTTTTTTGAACATTTTTCTTCAAATGATTTCAGCAAAAAAAAAATCCTAACGTTGACATAATGACAACTATTATGGTTAGGTGCATGAAAATGTATGGCAGTTGTAAACAGCTTTGCAGTGATGAATGGCTTGTTGTCCACATGCTGTCACATTATTATGTGTTCAGAAGTAGTGCATCAATCCTTTCTAAAATGAATTATACCTTATTTCCAAATTCTGAACTCCCTTAGTAGAAGCAACTACATGCATCCAAAAAAAAAAAAGTCCAGTAATATGTTGTGTGAATAAATGTTTTTTTTAATTGAATAAAATAAAAATGAAATCATGTGCTTGTCTGTGTTGTAGGAAGGGGCAACCAGTTCAAAAATGACCTTCAAAGCACCCATACATTATGACCCAGTCTGAATCATTAAATCAGAGTATTATAGATGGAAAAGCCTATGAATATGAAAAACAATTAAATTTACCACTGAAAGGACAAGTACAACAGGAATTCTTGAAATATTTTCAAACGTAATTTTGGTACAAGACTGCAAAGTGCATGGGAATGTGTTTTTATTGTCAGATGAAGTAATTTGCCTTTCTGTGTCTAAATTCACAATGTAGACCTTTGTTTCCACTATTAACACCGAGTTTGACAAGGACACATTGTCAGCAGAGTGCATGTGTGGGTGAAGAGATAAGCCATCACATAGTTCAGCATAAGAAATGAACAACAGTACACTCACAATCTGAACATATTAGACAATGTGCATATTGAAATTACCTTTAAAGTCAATAGTTTTTTCTGTTACTAATTCAAACGACTGACACTGACAATAAAAAAGTTAGTGTCTACATGTGGCTTTTGCCCAAATCTGTGCTCTGTTAACTCTGAATGTAGGGTAAATTAGCTACTGCACACATATGGGCGCATATATGTGGCCA